TTGATGGTAATGAATACAGCTTTTTGATATCACATAAATGGCCCACACTTGGAAGCTTTTTTAATGCAATGAACTAATATTTTTCAAGTGACCAATGCATGAGATTAAAAAAAATCATGCATAGACAAAAGATTCATTTAAAGTACAAGAGAGACTAAATGGCGTGTTTTAATTGTCATGAAGGGGGTGCAAAATGTTCACTGATTGTGGTTTCAGATTTCCACGTTGCAAGCTACCTTCTAGGGAAACTGACCCTTGTTGGCCGGCGCGTGGCTCCTGCCTATAATCCCAGCCTTTGGAGGTGAGGCAGGCGGATCCACGAGGTCAGGAGATAGAGACCATCCTGGTCAACATTGTGAGACCCTGTCTCTACTAAAAAATACAAGAATTAGCCGGGCGTGGTGCAGGCACCTGTAGTCCTAGCTACTCGGAGGCCTGAGGCAGGAGAATGGCATGAACCCGGGAGGTGGAGCTTGCAGTGAGCCGAGATCGCACCGCTGCACTCCAGCCTGGGTGACAGAGCGAGACTCCATCTCTAAAAAAAAGAAAAAAGAAATGACCACTTGTTAAGTTAATAGTATGCCAAAGAAGAATATCCAGAAATTATCTGCAACAACTAATTAAAATATTCCTCTTTTTCAAGTACAAATCTGCAAGCTGGATTTTCTTCAGATACCTCAATAAAAGAATATCACAGCAGACTGAATATAGAAGCAGATATGAAAACCAATTGTCTTTTTTTTTTTTTTTTTTTTGAGACGGAGTTTCGCTCCTGTTGCCCAGACTGGAGTGCAATGGTGTGATCTCAGCTCACTGCAACCTCCACCCCTTGGGTTCAAGTGATTCTCCTGCCTCAGCCTCCCGAGTAGCTGAGATTACAGGCATGCGTCACCATGCCCGGCTAATTTTGTATTTTTAGTAGAGACGGGGTTTCTCCATGTTGGTCAGGCTGGTCTCGAACTCCTGACCTCAGGTGATCCACCTGCCTTGGCCTCCCAAAGTGCCAGGATTACAGGCGTGAGCCACCGCGCCCGGCCCACCAATTGTCTTTTATTAATCCAGACAATAAAGAGATTTGCAGACATGTAAAACAATGCCACTTTTCTCATAAAGTATTTTTTGCTTTATCATCTAACGATTTTGAATATAAATATATGTATTGATTTAATATAATTTTTTAAGTATTTAATAAAATGTGTTAACAAATAATGGGCTTATTACTTTAAATGCATACATATTTAAATTTTTTTTCTTTTTTGAGATAGACTGTCACTCTGTCACCCAGGCTGACGCAGTAGCATGATCACAACTCAGTACAACCTCTGACTGCTGGGATCAAGTGATCCTCCCACCTGGGCTACCTGAGTAGCTGGGACCACAGGTGTGTGTCTCCCACCTGGGCTACCTGAGTAGCTGGCTAATTTTTAAATTTTTTGAGGGGTCTTTCTATGTTGCCCAAGCTGTTCTTTCAAACTCCTGCCTCAAACAATCCTGTTGCCTAGCCTCCAAAAGTGTTGGGATTACAGGTGTGCACACTGTGCCCAGTCAATATTTAATTGTTTTGTTTTACTATCAAATATGGTAATTATCAATATATCAAATCCAAGCTATTTAGTGTCTTGATATTTAAGAATGCAAAGGAAGCCAGGCCTGGTGGCTCATGCCTGTAATCCCAGCTACTTGGGAGCTGAGGTGGGAGGATTGCGTGGGCAACCAGTTTGAGACAAGCCTGGGCAACAAAGCAAGACCCTATCTCAAAATGATAATAATAATAATAAATAATAATAATATAATAATTAGCTGAGCATGGTGGCACATACCTGTTAGTTTCAGCTACTTGAGAGGCAAAGGCCAGAGGATCTCTTGAGCCCAGGAGTTTGAGGCTGCAGTGAGCTGTGATTGTACCACTGCACCTTGAGCTTGGGAAACAGAGCAAGACCCTGTCCTTCTGAAAAAAAAAAGAAGAAAGAAGAAAGAAAGAAAGAAAGAAAGAAGAAAAAGAAGAAGAGACAGAGAAGAGAGAGAAAGAAAAGAAAGAAAGAAAGAAAGAAAGAAAGAAAGAAGAAGAAAGAAAGAAAGAAAGAAAGATGTAAAGGAGCTCTGACACCAAGAAGTTTAAGGGCGCACTGCAGTGCAGGGAAACATAATGCAGATAGCTAGATCAAGTTCTTGGAACTGCAAGAAGGTCAAGGGCAGTGAGGAAGCGGAGGTCAGGGGGTAGCTGCCATGGGAAGCTGCCACTGCCCTCGTGACTGGAAGGGCTAGAGGGAAGAGGAGGTGGTGTTCTAGTGATCATGAGCAGAACGGACCGTCAGGACCTGGCATCATAAAGGGGGACATGTGGCAGGACGACCGCTGAGAGTCAGGGATACCTGGTGGGAAGCAGAAGCATGACAGGCTGCCGGATGGGAGGTGGAAATGTGAAGGAGATGCAGGTCCTGCTGAGACCCCACCCGCAGAGAGAGAAGGGAGAGAAATGCCCTGCTTGCTTGCTGTCTCCTGTTCCCCCATTTCATGGGACAACACTGTCTGCTGTTCAGAAGCTCGTTTGCAGCAGAACCTTGGGGACGAGAGCTTGCAGCAGTCAGTTCCC